TGGCATTTTGAAAACACATCGGTATACGACCCTGTGACTAAGGATGGTGGACTATTCACAGCTTACGTTAATGCCTTCCTCAAGTTAAAACAAGAAGCCAGCGATTGGCCTAGTTGGTGTAAGACCAATGAACAACGAGATACATATGTACAGTTGTACTTTGAAAAAGAAGAATTGTGCTAAATCCCCATAATATAAAAAATAACCCTGGTTTACGTGCATTGGCCAAGCTTATGCTAAATTCATTTTGGGGGAAATTTGGACAGCGCCCAAACATGACTAAAACCACGTATATCGACGATCCAGAGAAATATTTCGAAATGATGACTCGCGATGACACTGAGGTGCATAATGTAAACTTTGTAAATGACCAGATGGTAGAAGTACAATGGCAACAAACTAAAGACTTTGTAGAACCGTCTGGTCGTACAAATGTAATCATAGCGGCCTATACATCTGCACAGGCGCATCTTAAATTATACGAACTCTTAGAAAAGCTTGACAGGCGTGTATTGTACTACGATACCGACAGTGTGATATACGTAAGTCGGGAAGGACAATGGGAACCGCACATTGGGGATTTTTTGGGCGAATTAACGGATGAATTGGAATCAGACAACCACATCGTCACATTTGTGTCTGGGGGACCAAAAAATTATTCTTACAAATTAGCCAAGCCAGATAGGAATGGAAATTTAACTCATTGTAAAGTTCGGGGAATTAGACTGAATTATCGTAACGACTGTTTAGTCAACTTTGGAAGCATGTTAAAAATGGTTCAGGGTGAAGGTCCAAAGAAAATACAAGTCACAGACCCTTACAAGATTGTAAGGGAAAAGAAGAACATGAATATCGAAACACGAGAAGAGAAAAAAATGAATCAAGTTGTATACACAAAACGGGTGCCTATAGGCAATTATGACACTGTTCCTTACGGTTATTAGTTTTCAGTTTACTAATCCATATGGATACTTTTTTAATGGAGGTATAATTAATAGTTATGTTTGAATTCTAATGACAAACGTTTTATTTTTCATTGTGGATATTTTGTATATTATAATTTTTAATTAGTAGTACTAGTACAATTGCAAAGAATATTTGCTCAATGTATAAAGAATCGTTTGTACCGTTCTGCTATATTCATGCAAATTCAGAAAGGTTATTGTATACAATACTGCGCCGCTGTCGATTTTAACTTCTTACAAACCTGCATCACTTTATATTTTGTAAATATTGTACTGCATTTTTGCTATTCACAAGCTACTGTAAAAGATTGTTGGATAAAAATAAAAAAAGACTGTTATCAATCACAAACGTGTGTATTTTGTATTTTTACTAACACAATTGTAGAATTATTGATAAAACATAACTTACTATAGCACTATCAATATTTTAACCAACTATTTTTTCTTTTTATTGTAGCAGTAAATATATTTTTTACGCTATGAAAGATGTGGTTTGAATGATACGTTTACTTTCTATGATCATATTGTTCGGTAATCAACAATAGTTTAAACATTATGTTATTTAAACAAAATTGCTTATACTTATAATTAAAAAAAAAGAAATAAAACAAATAATAAAACGTAGTATCAAATACAATTTCTTGCTGATATTCAAGATTAGGTTGGTTAATATCAATAACAACAAGCTTGTTACACCATCAAGATACATATGTTTTTCATGCTTGGTTCAACCTTATATGGGCCTAAAAGAGCTAACTAAACTGAAACAAATATTGGACGACGCGTGTAAGGCATCACGAATCAACACCTTTGCGTTATGTACGACTCTATCATATCAGCCATTCTTTTGAAAAAAAACAAACGGACTACTATATTTCAACATTATGTTAAGAGACACAGTTGTAACGGTAAACAGGTATCTAATACAATAGAACCGTTTCAATAGCCTTTCACGTTATAATACAATGTACGATGCGCTCTGTATATGCGAACAGCATAGGGTTAAGCTTGTTTTTAACTACAGGCTATAATCAAGCATTTTTTCAGACATTTCAAGAGCAATATGTTAATGCTATTGGTCGGAAACTTTTAGATATGTCAATTTAGATACACAGTTAGGAAATGTTTCCGGATGGAAGAAGCAACCGAAGAGTTTAAGAAGGGTTGAGCAAAAATAATTACATAAGCTAACGGCGATACACACCCATTAAAAGTTTGTCACCAAGTTTTAACCAATGGCCTTACTTTAATTGGTTTTATAAAATAGCTCCATTGCCTCATTGAATGGGCAAAAAACACACAAAACAAACAATTAGGTAGATCCTGTACAATATTTCTGCAAAATCAATGTTTAATTTATGTTGGGATCTTTCGATTTAGTTATACATCCTTTCTGGTTGATTTGTATCTTTCAACTGTATTGCTATTCGTTTTAATAATTGACTTCAAATACTTTTATATAGAAAACACCAATAATGGTCATAATGGTCATACAATTTCGTTAATTGAAAACGAAAAACATCCAAATCAAAGGTCCTCCAAATTGTTACAACTACTACTCATAAATGAGAGACAAAGTAAAAACTATACCAATAATCTTTCTACAAAAAGAAAGTACATTAATGTACAACCAGAATAAAAAGCAACAAGAGAAATAGACTGCTTCACCATACGGTAGTTATCACATGTTCAAGTAATACGACTTGCCATCATGTAGTAAAAATGTTTAAAAACCCTCTGCATTAACAAAATAAAGACAAAAAAATAAGTAAAATATCAATCTTGTAAATGTAGTTTTTTAAATAACTGTATAAGAAATTCAGGGACATCTGAACGATAAATCAAATCGAAAACGTTGTTTTTAAATAAACCATTTATGTACGAATAAAAAAAAAACAGAAAGAAAAAAAACATAAAAATTAATCAAAATGGTTTAGCTGAAAAAAAAAGGAAGCAGAAAGATAAATAACATCAAAAATGGTTTGAAAAATTAGTAGTTTTTGATTTACTAATACCAAATCCTCACGTACTACGAGAAATTTAAAAAAATAAGGAAGAAAGCTAAGACAAAATTTACCACCAAAAAACAGTTCTTAGAAAAACAAATTTTAGACTCGTTCAATATGACGGCACTATATTGGCCTGATAAACGAAAGTAAAACAATAAATGTATAAAATGAAATAACGAAAGTACTACAACAAAGTACTAGATCTGTTGTAACTTTTATTAGGCACCCAATACCAGCGTTAAATAAACCATGTTTAAAAAATATATACTGTTACTCGTCTAAATATCCTGCATAATGAATTTTGTATCATATACAAAAAATCTGAACTGAAAGAATCAAATTGCCCACATCAACTAAAATTCAGAATAAGAACATATATCTCTGATATCAGCATCCTGAGGACAACTGTTATTTACATAAGCAACAATATCCCATACAGTAATTCCAATATAGGTTAACAAATCTAAAATAGTAGATGGGTCTACAAAGAAAAACTTAGAAAGTAAAAATGCGCCACTGAAAGAAAAATCCATCCTACAAGTTCAGACACGTTCAACATAACGTCACTGTTTGAATTATCTATAAGGCAGTTGTGACAAAAGGAATCTGATTATCTGGTCCTCTTTTGTTCTAAAAGTTACAAAGACCTAGTTGTCCAAGATCCATTGCAGTTTATCGATTTTATTCAGAACATAATAGGCCTACTTACATTATAGGTAGAGTCAAATTTAGGGCTATGAAATTTGCTAGGGCATTTTAAATTAGGTTGTTGTCATGTTTAATTGGGGTTAAAACAAAACAATCCGAATATACATAAAAAATCAAATGGTCCACAACCAACTAAAAAGCAGAAAAAGAACCAGCATAGAGCTCTGTTTACCTTCACCTTGGAGCCAGTGATGCTGTGATAACATTTATTACGTAAGAAACTTTATTCCTAAAATTCCAATATTGGTTAACAAATTTAAAATGACAGATGGTCTAAAAAGAAAAAATAGAATAGAAGGGAAAGATGGACTCTGAAAAATCCATTTTTACAAGTTCAGACACGTTCAACATGACGTCACTGTTTGAATTATCTATAAGACAATCATGACAAAGGATTAAACAATAGCTGGTCATCGCTTTTCAAAAGCTACAAGGACTTGTG